AAAGTCCATGTTCCCCCAAATTTTAACTGAGAGATGACAACTGTTTGGGGTACGTTTTTTTCCTAAGCATATACAAAAAACAGGCAAAAATGTCTGTAATTTAGTAATAGTTCACCTCTTTCACCTCATAATCTCTCAGCTCCCCCCCAATAAGTACTGAAGAATATTAGACCTGAAGTATATTAATAGTAATTCTGAATGTCCAAGAAGGGATATAATATGTTCATAAAGATTTCCAGAATTATTCAGTTACAGAATTCTTTATTCAAGAAACGAAAGTTCAAAGATTTGGTATTTTTTTGAAACACTATTTTGGAAATGCTGGTTTAGCTTTATTTTAATCATTCAGACATCCAAAACTGTAATGTTTTTCTAAATATAAAGTATGCAAATCAAATATTAAAAGAAAAAGGCAACAAACTTACTTGGGATATACTGGTTCATAAAGGTACTTGTCCCCTCTTGTAGATGTAATATGAAAAAATAAGATGTAGCCATTTGCCGTCTGAAAGAGAAATTTTATTAACCATGAATTAAAGAGTAAGGCTTTGACTGTAACCCTAAATTTTAATTTCATATATCCTTACTTTAAAAAAAAAAGTCAGTCTTAAGAACCCTCCTTTGAAGAATTACAGCCTAATTATGCAAATACAAATGACTTTTGTTTACATATATCGGATCTTGAAAAGGGTTTTTACAGACTTGAAAATATTTTATAAACATGTAATTGAAATCAATAGTTCACAAAAANCCATTGCCGGACACGAAAAAAAAAGACAAAAAAAAAGGGGAAAAAAAAAAACCACAACTATTTTTGGGCTGGCCAGTTAGCTCAGTTGATTAGAACACAGCCTTGTAACACCAAGGTCACCAGTTTGGATCCCCATACCAGCCAGCCACCAAAAAAACAAAAACAAACTATTTTTATAAATTAAAATGTTAAAAACAAAGACTTTGTTGTATTTAAAGTTTTATTTTGTTTGGGTTACTATTGGGCCTGGGCAGTTTCTCTTGTGTTTGTTAGTAATTGTATTTCCTCTTACGAGACTGCTTTTACCTCTTTATCTACTGGAATCTTTGTATGTTTATTAGCAATTTATATATATCCTTTATATAAAAAGGGTAAGCCTTGGCCTTATTTACTGCAAACATTTTTCCCAGTTTGTTCCTTGCTCTTTGAATGCTGCTCTTTTTTTGTTAATCTTCAGAAATTTAAACTTTTCATATAATGAAAAATTTTCCCCTTAATTTCTTTTTTTGTCCCATGGATTAATGGGCTAATGGTTTAATGGGTTATCAGGGAGGAGAATGGTGGCTTTATAAAAAGAGGAAGAAATGATGTGGACGTGCTTTTGCCACTCTCATCATGTGATATCCTGCACCACCTTCAGACTCTGCTGAGAGTCCCCTCCAGGAAGAAGGCCCTCATTAGATGCAACCCCTCGACCTTGAACTTCTGAATCTACAGAATCTGTAAGCTCTGATATGGGGGTTCTTCTATCATCCACAGCTCTGCTTCTTGCTCCAACGTGAAGATCACCTGAGGTTTGGTAATGTAGTGCCCCAAGAACACCAGGCTGCTGTAGGTCTCCAGCTTCACATCCCTGTAAAAAGTCCTTTGGGCGGCATCCAGGTCCTGCCCCTCTTCCCAGGTGGAGTTCACAGCCACATCCTCAAACGACACCAACCCTGAAGATTTGTTCATTTTTTGATCATCTTGGAAACACACAGAACACACTGACAGCATAGCACAGTTTTTGCTCCCTGGGACACCCGCTCCCCAGGATCCCCTGAGGCTTGTGGGGCTCCTCTTTCACCCTCACATCAACCTCTAGGGATGCAGAATACAACACCAGAACCTGAGGAGCAGTATGTGGGTGGCTGCAATGTCCAGAATTTCCAGGCAAAAAAAAAAATCTCCCTTTAATTTCTTATACACCTATTAAATTTTGGATGTTTTCCACCATATAGAAATATGATAAATACTCATATATTTCTATCCAGTTTCATGACTAGCTCTTTTTTAAAAAAAAGATCTCATGCTTTAAAATTATATGCTCTTCTATTTCAAAAGTAAGGCATGCTTTAAGAAAAAAAATGCAAAATATACACAACTACATAATCTAGAGAGCAAA